TATATATAAATATATATGAGAGTCAATCGCAGATTTCACTAAAGTGGCTTCCCCTGGGGATAATGGTGGCGGGGAAGGGTGTTGAAGTTAGGGGCCATCACAGTCTCTGTGATTCTTTATTTCCAGAGAAGGATAATTCTGAAGCAAATATTTCAAAATACCTGTCAACATTATTAAATCCAGTGGACAACTTTGTTGTTTTTTTGTTCAGTCTCTATTTGAGATAATTTAACCTTGAAAGAGAACTATTTTAAAACTACAATAGAAAAATTACCTCACCACCTTCTCAGATCCAAGCTCAGGCACTAGAGCTCCGCTAAGTGACAGACAGCATGCTCTGTAGGTCCCAGCGTGAAATCCAAGGATCACATCAGAGGAATGGTCAGCAGGAAACAAAGGTCAAGAGCTGAGCTCTGCCTGCAGTGTCCTAGTCAGCATGCACTTCAGCAACTGGCCCATTCCACTGGGAGAAGAGTACGTGAATATGAGTCTCTGAGCTCTGCACCCACTCATCCCAGACAACGGTCAAACACATAGCTAGAAAACCCAAAGCCTGCAAAGTCTCTTATTTCACTAACTCGCAAATGTTGACTACCATGGAGTGCAGAGCTAACATAACTAGTGAGAGCACTGACTACAGTGCTAGTTAATATCGTCAACTTGACTGAACCAAGAGACTCCTGGGGAGGTGACTGGGCCCTAGGTGTGCTGTACTTACTAGTGGATTAATTCACTGAGGTTCATGGCTGAAAGTACTGTGGTTAGGAGGGGGCCCCCAGTTGGAGAATGTGACTCACTCTGGGCTTTGGAGGGTGTGTCTCTCGCTGGTGATCTTTCCCTGTGCTCTGCTTCCCAGAAACCATGATGTAAGCAGCTTTGCCCCACCACACTTCAGAGCCAGCAGACCATGGACTGAAACCGTGAGCTAAAGCAAACCTTTCCTCCTTTAAATTGTGGATGTCAACTATTTTGTCCCAGCACAATTGACCAATGCAGTGGCTAATAGCCCTCTGAAGTGTTGTCCAGCAGCCTCCTTTTACAGAATTTCCTTTTATTGAACAATTACTCTGGAGGCCAAGCTCTGTTAAGAACTTTTAACAACACTGTACCCTTAAAATATCCCTGTAATATGTATTCTGGGACTTTGACTTGTTTTGTATTGTTTTTTAAGATGTCTCTATCTATCTATCTATTAATCTATTATTTCCCTTTTTGGTTGCTGTTGTGGTTTGGGTCTAGATGTCCCCCCAAAGCTTCATGTGGTCATAGGCTTGATCTAGTGTGTGTGAAGCTGGAATTCATTCATGATGCAGTGCTAGCTAGGTTCAAGGGCACTAGGATTAAGGGTGTGAGTGCTGCCCACCCTAAGTAGCCTGAATAAGATAAAACAGGCAGGGAGATGCTTGTTGCCTTTGCTGCCTTGTGTGTGCCATGTCATTTGTCCTCTTCGATGCCTGCTTACCATCCCTGCCTTGGAGCCAGCTGATTATGGACTGAAACCTCTACAAACTATAAGCCAAATAGACCCTTTCCCCTTAACTTTGTGTGTCAGGTATTTTGGTCTCAGCAACAAGAGAAAAGTAACTAACACAGTTGCTATTTTATAATGTCTGTAGAACCCCTCTGCTTAGTGCTCAGCTTCCCACTGCCTTACTGGGGAGGCGGCCGGGTAAAACAGAATGTTGGAGTCAGAAAGACAGTCAATCGGCCCAACTAAGATTCAGGTTTTAAAAACCTATAACACGTGTTCAGTGCAGGACCAACGAGAACAGAGGAGCTTTATGTTTTATGTCCCAGTCTGGGTCCTAGTGTCAATAAAGCAAGTATTAGTTAATATCTGTTCTCCTTTGTCCTCTCCACTGGACATGGGTACAGCCTCTGTCACCTGGCATCTTCCTTGTTACTAAACACAACTCTCACCTGCACCCTCCTTTCCTTTGACCTTTTTGCTGTACCCCTGTAGCTGATCTCAAACTCCTGGACTCTAGAAATCCTCTTGCCTCAGCCTCCTTGGCAACTAGAAGTATAGGCACAGGCCATTTTGTCTGGTTATATTTATCATCACTGCCAAACCAAAGCTCATATGTTTATAAGAAAATATCAAACACTGGCATCCTGAATTATCAGCTGCATATTTTCTGTCTTCCCTCTAGACCACCGCATTTGTTTGGATGGTTTATAATGCTGGGCATTGAAACCAGGGCCTCCACCACACCCTCTATCACTGAGCTACACCCTCAGCCCCCACACTGTTCTTACACGGGTCAATGTGGCATTATACTTTAGATCTAAAATGCCCCCACCCAAAGTCTCGGGGTGGGAGGTGACTGGATCACGTGGGCGCTGCAGTCACCCCTGCAGTCCGTCGTCCACTGGCCAGTTCAGCAGCCAGCTGTGCCGTTAGGAGGGGGGGCCCCGGTTAGAGGTTGCGCCCTGAGAGTGCCCTGGAATGGTGCATCCTTCTCCCCAGCTCCTCCCTTCCCGCTCCTCTTCCGGGCTGCCCTGGGTTGGGCAGCCTCCCTCCTCCGGGTCCTTCCTCCACGCCGTTGCTGCTTTAGAACCGACGGACTGGACAGAAGCCGACTGAACCTGAGTCCAGATAAACCTCTCCTTTAAATTGAGGACGTCGAGTATTTTGTCCCAGCGAGAGGAACGCTGACCGACACAAGTGACCAAATAAAGCACCGTGTTCCGTCAGTGTGGGTAATGCGGTCACTGAACGACACGAGTGCATTATCTCTGACCCAGCAGAAAGCCGTCTGGAAGCGCGAGTCCCCGGCTGCTGATCCGTGGGGTCCGAAGCCGCTCCGCCCGGGACGCGCGCGCCTGGGCACTTGAGGCGCGTTGGCCGAGGCCGGACCGACCGCGAAGTCCCCGGGAAAGGGGCTCTTCGCAAGGAAACCCAAGGCCCAGGCTTGTGCCCGGCAGGGGGCGACCTCACCTTCCGGACCCAGGACGCCTGGGCCGAAACTCCAGAGACCAAAACTCCTTGGAGACCAGAATCCCCGGGCCTTGGTTTTCTCCGCATCCGATTCCCTTCGTTCCCTGAGTTCTACCAAAGGCTCTGAGGTTGGAAGACCCGGTTTAGCGGCGCAGCTGGGCTAACCCCGGAACGTCACTGGGGTCCGCCGGGGACATCGGTGGCGAGAGGGCACCACCTTGCGGCCAGGGCGGAGGTGGCAGCGGCTGTCAGAATTTAAGAGGCAGCAGGAGGATCATGCCCCTTCCTGCCTTGGGGACCCCTGCCTTCTCTCAGGGACACCTCATCGACCCAGCTCTTCCCACCCCAGCTCCACCCAGCACTAGGAGGGGGCCTCAAAGCACACGTGTGGACACCTCAACCCCCACGAGAGAGCCCCTGTCCACCCCACCCTCTGAGACAGGTATGTGCATCCAGGGCCCATCTGTTCTTGGGGTGAGGTGACCAGAAGAGGACAGCTCCTGGCTGTGGAGTTCTTGCCATTTAGAGGGACAAAGGATGGAGGAGCAGCCCTCTTGGCTCCCAGGATTTCTTACCTAATGGGATGGGTGGGTCCTCATAGCTGGAGGGAGGATCTGAAGTGTAGGTCGCTTCCTGAGGGCTAAGGGCACCGATGTGCCTTTTCCTACCCCCGTCTGGCTTATCTGAACATTTTCTCTACCCCACCCCACCCCATATGAAATTTTTCTTCTCATTTCTCCATCTCTGGGTGCGTGCGTTCTCCTGGGTCTTATCCCTGTCTGCTTATTACATTCTTGCCCCTTTTTCTGCCGAGCTGGAGTCCATGTCTTCTCTCCTCTAAAATCCTTAGTCGTTGTTGTCATCGTCAGAGCCTACTTAGCCACTTCCATAAGTAGTTGTATGACTGTTGCAAATTCTTCATATAAATGAACTCACTTAATGCCCCTAACAACCTCTCTCTCTCTCTCTCTCCCTCCTTCCCTCCCTCCCTCTCCCAAGGCCTCATGCATGCTAGGCAAGCTCTCTGCCCCTGATTAACACCCTCAGCCCTCTTCTGTTTTTAATATCAACTATATTCATGACCTTGACTCTGTCTCATATCTGTCAGCACCTGCTACATCAATTTTCCCTCTTCATCTTTTATATTCAGTCTCTTCTTAACTGGCTCCTCTTGGAACAAACACACTCTCTTTTAGCCTGAGGCCTGTCATGACATGAGAAATCGAGTGGTTTAAGAAAAGTTTAGCAGAGCAGAAAGCACAGTTCTGGGTGTGTCCCTGGATGATTGACTTGTAGCCCAGCCAAATGAGAGGGGAAGGCCCGCCCCGGATATGGCTGGCTGGTAGCCCGGATGGAGTGAAAAGGGAAAGGAGAAGGAAATGTGTAGTCTTCTCCATCACCTTTAGTTTTAAGTCTCCAGTTTCTTCCGCCTTACTAGGTAGACTCATTGCGACCTTCCACTGAGCTTTCCGGCCTTCGAGTTTGGACTGGCTCAGCATCCTGATCCCTCTTGTTCTGTGGCCTCCATCTTGGGCTGAGCAGCTGCTTGACCGTCTGGTCCTCCAACCAAACAGCCATTGTGGGCTCTCCCGCCTCTCACCCTGTAAATCTACTCAATAAATCCTCTCGCATAGTTATCTGTATGTTTTCTGTTAATTCTCTCCATCTAGAGAACCCTAACTAATATGAGGCCATATTAGTTGACCCAACCACTAAGGGACACCTCACTTCTCTCCTTTTACCACTTTCTTTTATATCTTTTTAAAAGAGTAGGTCAGAAACTGTGTTGTTAGAAGTTGAGAAAGCAACTTTACCCAAGTTACACACTTATATTCACACACACTCTAATCCAGTAAAACGTCAAAAGAGAGAGTAGCTTGGCTCATCCCTCCTCCACTGACTCCCCTCCCTCCTCTCCTGCCAGGTCACTGTCCTTTCTTGCAATCAGGCATCCGTGTCCACCATCAGAAGTCACCCTAACTAACAGCTCCTGCCTAATCTCAGCTCTCTTGCTGGACACGTCACCGTGCTGTCCTGACATTCTCTCCTGTCCCTGGTGTCTATGAAAGCTTCCCTCTGCACCCTGACTTTATTACCATTATTTCCACCCAAGCTGCCTTTCTTCTTGATCTCTGCCTGCCAACATCCTGCTTCCTTGTCACCATTCAACTCGGGCATCGCCTCCCAGGCCTCCCCTCTACACCCTCATCACACGCATCCTGCTTTTAGGGAAATGGGCCTGGTGCACCAACTGCTCTTTGAACTGCCAGGAATGTGGTCACCTGTACTGGTTATTAGTAATATTAAGTTTTGCTGTTTGGATTTCAAGAAATACATTCACTCGGGATTTACTTCAAGTACCTGGAGGTGTGCAATAGGAATTTCTTAGCACCTGGCCATCTATCTATTTCCCTGCTTCTGGAAGTAGAAAATATTAATAGACACATGACCATTATTTCTAAGCCCCAAATCCCAGGGTAATGTCAGCCTTCTCTTAAAAGCTTGTGCATTGGCACTGAAACATTATAACTAATATGTACAGTGCTCCCTCCCCTACCTCCACATACAGTTCCTTTGTTTAGGAATCCCGATGGCTCATTCAAAAGCTCCCTGACTAAAGAGAGAAATTTTTTGCTTCCAAGAGTTTGCCTGACTTGGGCACGGTCGCTCATGCCTGAAATCCCAGCTCCTCAGGAGGCTGAAACAGGAGAATCACAAGTTGAGGGCCAGTCTGGACAATTTAGCAAGTCTTTGTCTCCAAATAAACTTTTAAGAGGCTGGGGACGTAGCTCAGTGGAAGAGCTTTTGTCTGGTACGCACAGGCCCTGGGATCAATCCCTAATATCAGAAGAAGGAAGGGAGAGAGGGAGGGAAGGAGAGAAAGACCCAATCCCCTCCTTCTACTTCCTGCAGAACCGATGGATTTTGACCTGTACAGCTCTGACCTTTGCCCCGGGGCAAGTGACGAAAGCCTTGAGTCCTCTGACTGATTTGCTGGACTGGGCAGCCCTTCTCTAGGAGCGGAGATGACGTTATGTCCCCCTCACCTGTTTTCCACGTACAGTGTGAGGACATCACGTTCAGGTGCACGGATGTTCTCACAGGGAGAAATTTCCTCTTTTGGCAGAAGATCGAAAGCAGTGAAAGCGAGATCTGAGTGGCTGGGATTGGTACAACCAAGCATGATCATCATGCTGGGCACTGCCCAAGCGCTCCGCATTCACCTTTATCCTTCTGAGAATTTTTGTGGGTTGACTAGTTTGCTTATTGAAAAGCTAAGAGATCTGTCTTTCTATAGTTTTATAGCTTCCCAGCAGATGGCAATGAAGTGTCTTGTTTCAACAGATTTAGTGTATTTTGTTCTGTGTCCACTTACAAAGGAGAACTGAGCTGGTAATCAGCAAGAGCAACAGGCGTAACATCATCTAAACATGAGTTTTACTTCTTCATAGGAAATCACTATTCTAATTTGTATGCCGATAGTTGAGCACATGTATATTTCAAAAATTCAGAAAAATTGTATTGTTAACACTGCACTGATTTACCATTTATACTAAATGTGTTGCATTTTACACCATCTGTTATTTGTCGGCAGCACCCAAAATGTATTCTTGAATTCCCAACTGAAAGCTACTGAACTTTCATTATTATATGAATTGCCGTCCATTGGCTGGGGATTTGGCTCAGTAGTTCTGCTGCCTGCCTCGCAAGCTCAAGGGCCCAAGTTCGATCCCTGGTACCAAAAAAACCGAAAAACAAAACTGTTATACAGGTTCTAATAATCCACAAAGTAAATTGTGTGACCATATATTAGAGATTACCCCTTAATGATCTTGTAATTATATAATAGGAATTATCCATTATTATAGTAAAATATTAAGACTTGATATTAATACGTGACAGTACTCACCAGCTCATTAATTATATATTCGTACGTCACATGCATGGAAACTCGCAGATAAAATAATAACTATTGGCTTTTTGTGTACCTACTCAAGTGTTTAAAATGAACTTCAAAATCAGAAAAGGGAGAGGGAAATGAAAGGGAATCAACTAGGCCACCGAATACATTTTTGGAGAAAGTAGATAAAAAGAATGCCAGATTAGGGTGTAAATTTACTGCCAACATTTATGCCAAGAATAACTTGAGAAAAAGTGCAAAGGAAAAAGAAAACAATGATGAATTATTTTCCCTCTCCAGGTATTATCTGGTGATGTGATTTGCATACTTAACAATGAAACAGTAGCTGAAATTTATCATACATATGTGTGTGTGTGTATATATATATGACATTTATTTTCACCATATTTAACTACCATTCATATAGGTAGGAATCTTTCAGAAATTGTTTATTCAGAAATTCTTACTAATAGCAAACTCTTTTCATGATCGCACCTGTTTTCTCTATATTGCAAATTCTTCAGGGATGCAGAAAAGTATCAACTGCAGAATGAAGATGCGAACAGGATCAACAGCATTATCACTGTACTAAGAAACAGAAGCTAAAATGCACTTTGATAATAACATGAAGAATTCAAAGTTGAATACTCTGGTTGCCAGGCGTGGTGGCACACACCTGAAATCCCAGCAACACCACAAGTATGTGCGGGGAATAGACTAGGGCAGAAACTAAAAATAGTTCTAGGGTGCTCTGCACTTCTTGCTTTGTGTCTTTAAGTGTGATATTGAATGATGGGGCAGAAATTTATTTTGACAGCGTCGCATGTTTTATATCATCCAAGAAAATATATAACTCTTCGTTTGCTTCAGCCAAATGCTGGAGTATGTTGAAAAGCCATTTACGGGACATAAAATTTAAAACCACTGTGGACTATGGGATGGGAAAATCAAGCAGATGCCATCTTGCTACTAAAGCTTGATTAGAGGGAATGTGCAGGGCATGGTGATGAGGTGAATAAAAAGGTAGATTGTAAAACACAAGTAGAAGTACGCTCCTGAAAACACTCCCCTTAAAATGTGTTCCTAATAGGAGTGCGCATAAAATTACTGTTAAGAGGAGAATTAAACAAGAACACAAAGCCAGTGCGTATTCCTTCCCTCGAAAGCATATAATGGGTTTAGAAAACCTTTTGAGAGAAATTATGAAAAGACAATATTGCTGCTAAACAGAGTGCAGAGTTTCCTGACAGTGACCCCCACTTCTCAAATATAAAAACCCAAATAGGGGAGGAAGATTCATTTCAAACGTGATATCTACCATCTACCTATGACCCCAAAACTGTATCTATTTTCCATGTCACTAACAATCTTTAATAGTGTGTTTATTTATTGAACTAGGGCCTCACTACATTGCTTTGGCTGGTCTCAGACTCACGAGTGGAAGAGATCCTCCCGCCTCAGCCCTCCGAGTAGCTGGGATTATAGGCATGAACCACCTTGCTCAGCGTAAAGGAAATATTTATGTTGCTGAAAGGACATCATAGCCTACTCAGTGTCTTCAGCTAGCACTTCTCTGGCCAGGCATGGTGGTGCATACCTATAATCCCAACACTTGGGACACTGAAGCAGGATTGAGGCACGAGTTTGTCATGCACTGAGCTATGTAGTGAGACCCAACTCAACACACACACCCCAAAGTCAGTCTTAAATTCTCATGCATACACAGAGCATTGGGAATCTGATTAAAACGCAAAATATGATTCAGTAATTCTGGGTCGGGATCTGGGATTCTGCATTCTAACAAACTCTTGGTGACGCTCTGATTCTGGATTCTTATAGCAGTGAGGGTCTGTGTGTATGAAATACCAGAGCTGGGTGAAAATGTCCTATTGACGGGCTGTGGTGGTTCAGTGGTAGAATTCTTGCCTAACATGCTTGAGGGCCTGGGTTTAATCCTCAGCCCTACCCAAAAGAATTACAATTGAAATTGACTGATCAATGTATGAGGCACTAAAAACCTAAAGCCATCTTTTCAAAATCTAGTGTCCTCCCTCAAGATGAGTATTTTTGTGGTATAATTTATTAGATGCATTCCCCAATAACTTTGTCTCTTTCAAGATATAACTAATTTTGTTTGTTTGTTTGTTTGTTTGTTTTTGAGACAGGGTCTCACTATGTAGTTGAGACTGCTCTGGAACTCACTATGTAGCCCAGGCTGGTCTCAAACTCACAGCGATCCTCCTGTCTCAGCCTCCCGAGTGCTGGGATTACAGGCGTGCGCCACCACACCTGGCAGTCAAGATATAACTAATTTTAAAAAGAAAAAAAGATATAACTAATTTTGCAGTGTTGTATCAGTGGAGAATATGGCCTATTAAAGTTAAATACACGAAAAACCAATGTAAGCCCATAATCACCTAGAATTAACTGTATTAAAACCAATATAAAGTCCGTTATCAATTAGAAAAGTCCAGCTGGGGATTTAGCACAATGGTTCCATCGCCTGTCTCCCAAGCACAAGCTTCCAAGTCCGATCCCTGGTACAACAAAATAAAAATAAAAATAAATTAGAAAAGTCCACCGATCTGATGTGCATGTCTTAAAATGTGAGTTATTAAAACCATCAAGAAGAATTTTATTTTCTTTAAGACAGATGTCTATTTTATACCAAATAATTAGATCCAAGTTACTTGAGCTTCTAATATTGTGAGTCATTTCAATTTTCCATTATTTTATGAGTCTATTCTTTTATGAGTCATTACTTAATTTATTACTCTATTATACTGTTATTGTGCTTATATAATTTATTCATATCTGTAGTAATTGTTACTATTGAGAAGTAATGTAAATTTTAACTTGAGAAAGAGGCAATTTGAACAAGTTATACAGAAGGCCATACGGGCTGGTGGTAGCCCTGGTTAGGGTAGCATATTTAATAAAGAATAAAATCAGCCAGACACAGTGGTACATGGCTGTAGTCCCAGCACTCTGGGAGGCTGAGGCAGGAGGATTGCAAATTTGAGCCCAGCCTGGGCAACTTAGCAATTTAATGAGGCCCTACCTCAAAATAAAAAGAGGCTAGAGATGTAGTTCAGTGCAAAGGCCCTTAGTTCACACCTCAGTAAACAATAAAACCCATTTGCCTGGTCTTAAGGCACTTGGTACCCTGAAATTTCTGCCTTATATGATTAAAAGAATCAAAACATAGTCTGAGATTTTGATGGGCCCTCAGACAGTGTGAGGAAACCCATGATGATATGGAAAACACACATCTTGGCCATGGATCTATCTCCTAGGGACCTAGGAAGACCAACTACCAAGAACTCATGGAAAAAAAATCGGGCTTGCAAACCTGCAGGACGTAATATCCTAGACTGGAATCTTCTCTGGGGTCCACGACAGCTCCAGCTACTAAGTTTCTTTGTTCTTCACCCGAGTCATCCAAGTGACTCACTGTCTCTCACTCCTTCCTCCTTTTCACCTCTGTGCCTGCTCTCTGGGGTAGCCCGATTCAAAGGAGAGATCTGCCCAGGCGTGAGTAAGGTAGGTGTTGTTCCTGCCACACAAAACGCTCCTCTCCAGAACCTCAGGCTTGTGCTTGGGGCAAATGTCCCCTGGGAGGACTCTGCTGCCCGGGGTAGGGGGTGAGAGCCCCTCACTTACTCGGGAGGGCTATGGGCTCGCCAGGTAGTGAACCTTCTGAAAGCAGTCTTTTGGTTTAAAAACACCCTTGACGGAAGTTTCCTCTATAAATAGCATTTATTTTCCTGACTGTAAAAGTAATGTCTGCTTGTTTCAGAAAATGGAAAAGAGGGTAAAGAAGTCCCATAAAATAGCCACTTTATTTGGGCTGTATTTTCTTTTAGCTAAATACATATGTGTGCATGTATCTACGTGCATATCTAAATCTTGTATGTCACTGGGGATTTTAATGCTTATATTCTCTTCTTTGTGTACACGGTGAAAATGGTCCTATTATAAAGCATGCTCTTCAGAAACGCCCTTGCTAATCGGCTCTGTCATATTCCAATAAGAGATAGGCGATTGTCAGCCACTTCGCAATCCTTGGACAGACGTCGGTTTTAACCAGATTTCATCGGTATGAAAATATAGTCAGGGTGGCTGTGGGGACGGGACAAAGCCGTGTATGGTGCTTTGGGGTTCTCACCCCAAGCCTACTCCCGCCTGGCAGTGGAGACTCCATCCGTACAAGCCAAGTCTCCAAGAGGGTGAAGACCTGGTGTGGGATTTTGTTTATGGGAAAGGAGCTGGTGGTGAAGGCTGACAAGATTAGAGAGCTAAGCCGCTGGGCCGCACCTGGAGGCGGTCCTGCGTGCTGCATTTACAACAGGGGCCTGGGAGTGATATAAATGAGTAATGTATCCTGATGCTCTTTTCCAGGCGAGCTGCAGAAATTGGCAGGGGCCCTTCAGTGTGCTGTCGATGTGTCTGGAATTCAAATAATTTGATTCCGAGATACAGTGACAATGGAGAGCAAGCCATTACCTCGAGACACGGATGCAGACAGCTGCTGCGACCCCTGTTCATGGGAGGGAAACCGCTGCTCCCCATGGCCACCCCCCCGGAAACCTCTAGCATGCCTCGCTGCTGTTGCCCTTACTCAAGGACATTAAATTAAAAAGTATGCAGCTGGCAATTCTTTTTCTCTGTTTTTTCTTTTTCCCTTGTCCAGGCAGTGAAGAATGGGGGAAAGTAAAAGAAAAACCTTGACTGAAAGTGATACGTCTCTTTAAAAAAATGATGCTGACATTAGACACAGCTCAGGAAGAGCACGATTTGAATAGCAGGTGGCACTGCGGCATACGGGAGCCCATGCTTTCTCTGCTTTTAGACTTGTCTTTGTTGACTGTGCGAGTTCGTATTTTTCTAAGGTGTAATAGCTGGGAGGATTCCATCAGTAATAAGAGAAGATCCGGTGAGCTGGGTCTGTTATCCTTGCAATCACAAGGCATTTTGCTCGTGTGAGCTGTCATTTCCATTAGGGGAACTGATAAGCAGATTCTGACTTTATTATTTGCCCAAATAGAGTGCTCTTGTTTGCAGAGTGTTTCGTTCTCCTGAAGCACTTTATTTTTTAATCCTTTTTTGTCCACGGCGCAGCATTCTGGAAAAGAACCCAGACGGGACGGTGAGCTGTTTCTTAGGATTCCAGGTTTACCACTGTGACTTTCTTTCTCTGGATCTCCTTTTCTCCTACAAAAGGAAAGTGCTAGTCATCCCCCTCCAGGTCCCCAGGTCCCTGATTCAGACTCTGTTATCTCATGTGACAATGCATCACCACCCTTAAAAGCCCAGGCAAATTCCCAGGTATCTTGGCCCCACCTTCCCTACAAAAGTCATGGTCCTTGAAGGTGAATTTGGCAATTTTAACATTGTGACTTTTTCTTAACCCTCATAGTTCTCAGAGTGTGAACGTGCAAATCATTCCAGCCAATTAGTTGTCCCTCAGTCTCCGTGTGAATGGGTTCCAGGATTCCTCTTAGACACCCAATCTGTGGGTGCTCAAGGTCTTCATACAAAATAGCATAGTGTTTGCATGTAACATATACATCCTCTCATATATTTTATATTATCTCTAATTTACTTATATCACCTAATATAATCAATGCCCTATCGATAGTTGTTACACTGTATTGATGATGATAAGAATATATCTGTATATGTTCAGTACAGTCACAGGTTTTTTAAAAAGTATTTTTGATCTGTAGTTGGTTGGATCTGTGCATGCGGGACTCGCGGATGCATAATATTTGCCATGTGACAGATGAGGTCTGATGCTTTGTTATTTTCAGAACAACTTTGCGAGGTATGTAGTATGTAGGAATTATTATTCCAACGTTATAATTTTAAGAAATAATTTATGATATGCCTTGTTTCTGTTACGGAGGTACCATGGACAGTTTCAAAAGAGGGTAATGAACGGATCACAATTCATCAATGCACAACCCTGGATCCGGCCTTTCTCCTGGACCCTTAAATTTAAGATGCAGCCTTAAGACAATTAAGCCAATGTCCAAGTAGCGAAGGTCAGTTCAGCAGTGGAACCCATGCGCTCCCGAAAAGTACCCAGGAATGTGGTCACAGGTCTACACTGAAATGCTCAGATTAACTCACGGGTCTCTGGCTGCGGAGTTAGGATGGCAGCCAGCCAGCATGGAGAACGTCATTCTTTCCTAATTAGCAGCTGTTTGATTTGCAGCCGTTGCCCTTTATAAAGCATCCCTGAGTTGGTGACAAGATTTCAAACACTGTGTAGAGTGCTTTACATGCTTCATATGTGTACACACATGTATTACACATATGTATCTAAAATTTCATTTGAACCCGTTAACCATCTATAATGTTCTGTTATTACCCCTATAGCATACTTGAGGAGACCAAGACCCAGAGAAAGTAGTTAAATTGTCCACTGCCACACAGCCATCCTGAGTGACAACACTGCGATCAAAGGGTACAGAAAACTATTCCTTAGTTCTGTCCACTGAAAGACCAGCTCTACTTTTTTAAAACAAGCTTTATGGAGATATCACATACATGATAAAATTCACCCCTTTTTTGCCAACCCGGGGATGGAACCCAGGACCTTGCACAATGCTAGGCAAGCATTGTACCTCTGAGCTACACCCTGTATCAATATTTACTACAGAAACAGATGTAACCCGAGATACACAAATATATAAGAACTTACAAGATTGACCTACAGTAGCCACCCACAGAGGTGGATGCGGAAGAGCCCGGAGAATCTGTGTGCACACTGGAGACCAAAAGATTCAGTGGAAGGTCTGGAGCTGAGGGCTGAAGGATCTGCACTGGAAGCCAAGAGATGCTGTCAAGGTGAGGGCGCAGACTGGAGCTCCTCCAAAGAACAGAAGCAGATCCACCCTTCTCCATCTCCCTTTTGTACCATCCAGGCCACAAGCCACCCTGGGGGGGTCCTCCCCACCCTAGGGTATGGTTTCATATAGATGGAGTCATGTAGCATGCAAGCTTTTTGTGCCCGGATTTTCTCCTTTATTGCAGTGTTTCTGTTGCATGCTAGTAGGTTTCCTTTTCTTTTTGCTACTGAGCAGACTTTGTATATCTTGTTTAAGCATGTGTCCATTCAAGTCCTTCACCCATTTCAGTTGTGTTGTCTTCTGTGGAATGTAGACATTCTCTCTATACTCAGGGTTCAAGTCCTTTATCAGATACATATTTCACAAGTATTTCCTCTCGGTGTGTATCTTCTGGAAAGAGTCTGTATCTCCTCTCCCTAGTGAAACAGGGGAAAAATCACTGGCCCAGTGCTGCTAAATTTTTATTTAAAACTGCTTGGATTGGGAGTGGTCATTCCTAGACTCCGGACTTACTATAGATCCAGAGCCTGTATAAGCGCTGGCCTGAAGGTTTGAATTCAGAGGTAACTTTTGTTTTCTCCCAAGCAGAATCCAAACAGAAACTACAAACTTCCTCAACATCTCCCTGTGCCTTTGGATTTTTTTTTTCAATCCACTATTTCACTTCAGATATGGCCCTTTGCTCTCTCTGCTTTACGTAGAGACATCCCATGCACAATAATTCTCATCTCTTGTCCCCGCAGGTAGCCACAGGAGTGGCCGGTAATTCCCCGAGGGCACCACCAAACATCAGCCTGATGCAACATTTTTTAGCTGTGTTTCTGGGTCCAATATTTTCTATATTTGTTTTTCCTACGGCTCAGTTTTGCATTGAAATATCTCTGGATCTGTGTTATTCAGTTGTAAGTTATCTTAGGCCTCTGACTTGCCCAAACTAAACATTGTCCTGTTTAGATGCTCCTTCATCTTTGTAGCGGTGGTCTGGTCTGACTGGTCTGACTCGTTGCCCTAGCTTTGCTCCCGGGTTACCTTGATTTCATTATAAACCATAAAAGTCATGGTAGGGTAGAACTAAAGGGTTCACACTTCTCCTAATGATCCCAATTGCCCAGAAGTTAAGAGCAACTATCTTGTCATCTTCAACCAGAGTGATGTTGTGAAACACTGGAGTATATACTTGATTATCTTGCTTATAGAATGCTAACGTCTGAGCACTTCAGTTAGAATAAGATCTGATCTCATCCCCAACTTGGTAGACCCTACCTGATTTGACCTCAGGGATCTCCTTTCCTCTCCACCTACTTTGGACTTCTTGCTGTTATTTGAATTTGCCAAGCTTGCCCTTGGCTTATGCCTTTACCCTTGCCTATCCCTTCTATTTTTGCTTTTGTGTGTGGGGGGGTGGTACCAGGGATCGAACTCAGGACCTTATACTAGCCAGGCAGGCGCCACACCACTAAGCTACATCCTTGGCCCTTCCCTCTGTTTTTGAGTGGCTGTAAGACTGGATCCTTTCTATCATTTGGTCCTAGCTCAAAGTCTTCCCTGGCCATCACCCACCTTGCTTTGTGCCTCTTAATTTCCTGTCATATTGTCCTATTTTATTTTCTTAATTTCACTTATCCCTTTTTGTAATGAACTTGCTCATTTATTTGTGCATTTATTTATACCGTTTCCTCTCACCTGAACTAAGTGCCATGATAGGAGGAACTCTGTCTTCTCACCCACGGAACTGTGTCTTCATTGTCTGGCCCGTCAGAGATACTCAGTACATCGTTACTGAGTGCATGTATGTGCGTGTGGATGCTAGGAGATGGTCTCATTGCTTTAGGTAGATTATCCATAATTTTTACAACAATACGTTATGGTTCGTATCTAGATATCTCCCCAAAGCCTCATAAGCTTGTAGGTATGGCTTATTAAAGATGATTGGATCATGGGGGCATAAACTTATTAGTGGATTAGTAAACTAATGAATTTATAGCTAAATGTGATATTGAGAGAGGAAGTCCGGTTGGAGGAGATGGGTCACAGGGGCCATGGCCTGGAAGGCTCCATCTCCCGCCCTCCACCCTTCATCTTTCTCTCTGCTACCCATCATTATGCTGTCTCTCCTCTGCCATGTACCCTGATGTGGAGTCCTCTGACTGTACTGAAACCTCTACAGACTGTGAGCTGAAATAAACCTTTCCCCTTTTAAATGTAAGAGTCGGATATGGTGTCTCAGTAACAAAAATGTACCTAAAATAGTACACTCCACTTGATCTGAGCCAAAGGACCGAAAAGTGATACAATATGCTAATGTAGTATCTCCCCATTTTACAGATCTGAAGACTGATTAGATCCAAGCCTGCTTGTTTCCAAAGACTATTTTTCTACATTAAGTGTCCCGTTTTTTCAGATAATATTAAATGCAATAATAAAGGTCTATGTCGGCAAGTGCTTTGAACATTGTATCTTCATTGGTTGTATTAAAATGTGAAGTCTTCTCTCTTGGAAATAAATGAAAAGGTAATTTCCAACAGTCAAAGAAAATGCCATTTTATCATATAAAATGAAAGAGGGGATAAAAAAATTCGTGAAGTAGAAGCAATATAATGGGTCTGGGACCAAATGATCTGGATTAAGTAAAGTTTAGACTTTTCCCCAGGCTCAGTTTCCTCTCCTATAAAACTGGGATAGAACTATCTGCTGTGTGCAATTTTTGTAAAAACATAGTAGCATTGATTTAATAATGCTGCCAAGAATCAGAATTTTGTTGCTGGAAAATTGTAAGAGATGGTTTACCATTGAGTCGGCACTGAGTCTAGATAAGA